GACTATAAAAACAATTTTCAATATTTAACTTAAAATTCATGAATATTATGAAATTCTAGTATAATTTTTATCTATGTTCAAGCTTTTGAATTTGATGCAAAAAATTCTTCGATTTCTAATAAAGTTTTATTTTCAGTTTCTGGCAAATAAAAATAGAGATATATTAACCCAAAAAGGCCAATACAACCAAAGAGAATCATAGTATACTCTAGACTTAAATACATTTCAATTATTAAATATGATTTTGTTAATGTGAATAATATTATATAGGCCAATCCCAAGGAAGCAGATGTAGCAACTCCTCGGCTTCTGCGGGGAAAAAATTCAATTAGAAAAAATTAAATTATAAAGTTTAAATATTTAAAAACATGATTGGCAAGTACAATTTTTAATTAAATACAATCGTAAACAAGACGCAAATAGGTATGCTATAAAGTTATTACACATAAAATTACTGCTATAGTAGTAGAGTATATATTTTTTATAAAAAAAATACACTTTACAGTTATAGGCTATAGCTGTATTATTTTAAATTATTTTCACATGAAATAACATATTTTATAGTCCCACTACACATTCAATTATGTTGAACGCTGTAATATTTATACCTCATTTTTTTAAAAATATAATTATAAATTTATAAATATTAAATTTTAAGTAAGTCTTTAAGAGTATGTAATTTTTCTTTCAAAATATTTTAATGTCCACTAATGCATTAATTTTTTTTTAGATAACTTGCAAATTTTTAAAAAACTATTAAATTTTTACTAGTCATGGTGTTTTTATGAAACATTTGAATCATTACAATACTTGTAGAAATATTATTTTTGAAATTAAAAATGTAATTTATAATTAATTTAAATGAGTTCTATAGGCTATAGTATACTCAATTAATAGCAAACAATAGTTAAACTGCTATTGTTTAATTTAATAATTTAAAATAGAAACCATTATTCGTTAATAATTTTTATCTATCAATAAATATAAAAAAATTAGTGGGAAAGTATTATTTAAAACAAACTATTTGATTAAAAGTTTGAAAAAATAAAATATTAAACTCAAAACAATTGTTCTTAAGATAGACTGCGCATTATGTGAAAAACTTAATCTTAATTAAGACATATAAAAATATAAATATCTTACTTGTTGGGAAAAACTTCAATTAGTGTCATCCAGGGAATACATGAAATACCGCATGAGCCGAAAAAATAAATACCGCACAGAATTGTTAATGAGATCAAAGGAGACGGTATTAGATATTCAGTTTTGACTGCAATAATGTATGCACCAAGTGAAAATAATAAAACAGTATTTAACGTTAATGTTAATAGAGTCAACAATCTTTTTCCAACTCGATGAACAGTCGCAGTTGTTATAATGCATCCTATACTCGTCAAGCCTGTCAGAAGAATCTAAAATTTTAATGAAATATAATTTATTATTGTTCAATATAGATCTGCATTATTAAAACTATGATTTATATTTCCATACCAACGATTCGTTTTGGTGATCGAATAAATCGATTTCTTTCATTACTTTGGTGATAAATGGTCTGGTAGGGAACATGCTGACTATGAAAGATACAAAGAAAAAAATCATCATTAATCTCAGTGGTCTATAGACCGCCGGATTTTTGAACTGGGTTAAATTTGAAAAAAACTTCTTATCGTCGGTATCAGTATTGCAGCCACTTCGTGTTCCAGATACTTCATTGTAATGAACCAGTTCGAGAAATTCTGGTTTAATTTTTTCAGGTTCTACCCATCCCCTCAACCAACATATGGCCTCTTCAGCCTTTTCATTGCGTCCTTTGGCGATCAACCAAATGGGAGACTCCGGAATCTAGACTCGGAAACATGAAAAAAACCACATATCAATAACACAACACGTATATACAATACTAATTATCATAAAAATTGACGAAAATCGACTAGTATCATAAATAATAATATAATAATTTGAAAAGTTAAACATTAATACGCACGAAAATAACAAAGCATATGCATGTAATGGGACAGAACGTGCTGATTAGTGCTGAGGTTCTCCAGTCGAAAAACAATCCCAGAATGTACATAAGTAACGAGCCTATTCTCATCGCCGCGCTTCCCAGCGAACCCAGAGATCCTCTGAGTCTAGGCTCCGTTATCTCTCCCACGTATGATGAGGTAGATTCGGCACCTAATCCCGTGCTGAATCCCATCAGTAAGGCCGATGCGCACAGTGATATCGATGACTGTGCGGAGTACAGCAATACCCATCCTATAAAACTGGGAACGTTTGAAAATATCATACAGCGCTTCTTTCCGAATTTATCTTGCAAGATTCCTGATAGTAAACATCCGACCGGGTGGAAAATAAACAACAAACTTGCTGTAAAGTTAAGCATACGATTAAAAATAATACATTAAATAATAAGAATAATATAACTAGTGATGGGAACAATCGAGAGAAATTACTCGAAATACTCGTTTGTTAGATTTAATCGATTGTTTCGATTGTTTTGAAAACTCTCGTGTGATTCTCTCGGTATCGAAATCAGCTGAAATACTATTTAGTCGAATGATAAAAATTACTCGGCGAGTGATTCATTCGAAATTAAATCGATATTTAAAATATCAAATATTCCAATTAAAATTAGTAATTACTAATAATAACATTAATAACATAGGTAAGATTTATATTTAATAATACCTATCCTATTCGATTAAATGTTGCGCACTTCTCGTTCAAACTTTTGACATAATCATAATCATTATCATTAATTAAGTACATCAATTTATAATTTTTCCTAATCAGTTTTTTACGGTATTTAATGATTTTAAATTTTAATCTTTCGATATGAAACACACCATGTATTAACTTTTAAGTGTAATTGTAAATAGTTCGGAGAAGGAAAACTAACATATTACGTTATAACTTTATTATTTTTATTTTGTACAATTTATACACTTTAATATTTAATATTTATTAAAAAATCATTATTTATATTTATAGTCTATAAATAAAGATATTCCATACAATATATATTGGGCATGGATACACGAATATATAATAATATAATATATGCATAACGAAATAATAAAATGAAATTCTGGTACAAAGTAAGTTGTTTTACAAGCGGTAAAATTTTTTTTTCTATTCTAATGAAATACTTTAGTACCTGCACAGATATTTTAAATAAAAGTAATAAATACATTTTTTTTATGACTTCATGCATTTAAAATAAAATAAATTTTAACAATTATATAATTAAGATTTATAATATTGAAAAATTAGTTATACCTATGTTATATTATATAAAAATGTTATATTTATAATAATAATATATTTATAATCAATGATTATAGTTATCAATAATATAGACGTTAACGTGCAGATGATTTCCGTATTGCATTTATCAAAATTATGATAAAGCGTTATTCTAGTTCTATTTGTGAACACATTTTTATTGTCATATAAATATACTAACTAGTATGATAGTAACATAGAAGTTGGTCATATTCTGTACTTCGTAGTGTATTTTAAAATATTTACGAGTTATTATTTTTTTTAAATTTTAACGTAAATTACTAATCAGCTGATATTCGTACAGCTGTGTTTTTCACATAGGAAACAAAAGTTTAATATTTCATCACAGTTTTTATCAACTGTAGAATATGTATAGAGTATATCTCAATTAAATTTCAGTGTTTAAAATAACAGCCTATTATTTTTCACCAAGGTAAATTCTTCTTATCTCTTTTGCAAGGTTTAAACTTTAAATTTTATAATAAAAGCTTTCATTATCATATAGATTAAATTTAAATTAACATATTATTGTGTATGTAATTTTGTTAGGACTTTGGATGATAGGTTATGTAGATGGTATCAAATGAATAATAATTTTTGAGAAGTATTAAACAAAACATAATTTTGTTTGTAAACCGGTTAATTTTTTCTAGTTTCTACTTCTGTTGGAGACATTTTCATCAACATTGTAATCAATATGTAAACTATATGACAATAAATAGAAATTAAAACAGTTCAATTAGATTAACCTATCGAAAATTTCAGTAGAAATTAATATTTATTTTACTTACCATACCATGAGGCCTCGGTGGTCGTTATTGAGAATTCACTGTTTGGGTTTTGATATAAGTCGCGAATGACTATTGCGGGCATCGATACATTCATACCCAATCCGATATAAAGAAAACTTTGGGCTATTGTTGCCAAACACTTACAATTTCAAAATTACACTGGTTAGGTATATTGATTCAAAATGTTTTTTATTATAAATAAAACATTTACTTGTGCCAACGTCGCCTTCGGCCCGTAATTTTGTGCAGATTTTTGTTCTTGAATTTCTTTTACGTTAGACATTGATAATAAAGTATAAAATATATGTAATACAACGAATGAAGTTTTTTTGATGAAAAATTACGTGCATATCAATTTAAATCATGAACAATGTATAAAGTTGTGTAATCGTCAGTAATACCTCTTTCTGTTATCAACACCATGGCATACTAATATGTTGAAGTACCTACTAGCCATGACTATCACAAACTGTAAATTATTTCGCTACAAAATGTTATTCATTGATATCGAAAACCGACATTTTATACGAGCTCATCGTTAATTATTATTGAACAAATAACTTCCAATACTATTATATTGTTTACAGATTATTTATGTATTTTTAATTCGTTAAGACACTTTTGAAACAATTAAAGTATTAAAATAACAATTTAAATCTATATTGTAATCTGAATAATTGTTTTAATAACCAATTTATGTCATATTGTCGTATTCGATATGTAGTTTTTTATATGTAAACAATTTAAACAATAATTTTGGTTTAATTCATTATATTATATCATACTGCCTAAACATTAGTACCACACGCCAATATACTAAATTCATTTTTTTTGAATTTATAATATTCTTAACACAAATCCATTTTCTTTTATTCTTAACACATTATTATAATAAATGACAAATACTTACTAATGTACAAATACACAATACCTTCTTTAAAGGTAATAAAAGCTGCTCCTTTCGTAATACCTTATGAGTATCGCTAAATGACTTTATAAATCTAATTTAAATAAATAAATAATAAAGTGTTTCCCAAAGCGTGTATTATAAAAATATGGTCAAAAAGTACTATAATACATTTTAGGGAAAAATGAAAGGTAATTTTTAGGTAAAGAGTTCTGCCCTATACTTCCTCATTCCCTCAAATTTATCTTAAAAATATGATAGGTTATTAATAGCATTTCAATACCAAATTCATTCTCGAAATTAAAATAGATAAACCGTTACTTTTCTAAAAGATGACAACAGAAAAAAAATTTACACACACGTACAGTAATACAATCAATCTCATTTCTTCCCGGCGTACTAGGACTAACGGACTATTTTTTTCAAAAATTATTGTTCTTAAACGTATTTTTACTAAAATCTAACTTAATTTAATATAACTGTCTAACCTTAATGAAAACTTAATGTTTTAATTAACTTGTCTCGCTGTAGAACACTAGCATACAGACAAATATAATACAATCGACAGTATTATCAACATTTAAAATTACTAATATTTATTATATAATTATAATTAAAAATAATAATAACCTGTTATTTCCATGATGTGAATAGTAGAACACATTAGTGTATTGGTATCACTAATTACAATAATAAGATAAAAACTTACTAAAATAGGTACTTCACTATATAATAATTGTACGAATATGTGTTTTTTTCAGTTTAAGTTGGCTTATAATTTATTCAATATAAATAATGTTTACTCATGTCTATGATGTAGAGATTTTTGTACAATATTATACGTAAATAATATATAATGTACCATGTTTTAAATCGAATATAGATTAGATTAGATTTTACAACTTACATGTTCCAACTAAAATCGACAATTTTTTTTCTTCATCATTTGTTTTATTTTATATTTGCATTGTAGATTTTGAATAAAACTTTTGATTCATATTAGTTTAAATAAATTATGTTTCATAATTTTTTCGAACGGATAAAAAACGCTTAAAATCTCTATAAAAAATTATTAAAAAAAAATAAAATATTTTTTTAATCATCTCCTTATTTTAAATTGTTATGTAGATGTATTTAATTATTTATAACGTAATTAATGATATACTATTTCAATAACTAAGTATTTTTATGACTGACAATTGGAGTGTAAAGAATAAAAATCCATCAAGTATTATAAATTATATATTTATTAATAAAAAAAAAAAGTAATAAATTTGAAGTTGTTACTAAATTTTTTTTCCTTTAAAGTATATAAATATGTATAATAAAAAATATTTACATTTTTTATTAAACACGTCAAATTTTAGCAAAATATTGATTTTTTTATTTAAGTTAAATGTATTTGCTCAAAAACGAGCGATTTTGAATTAATTCTCTTCAAATTATTAGTCTTAGATATTTCCTATGTTAAATTAAATGTTTTTTTTAAATTATTACTTTTAATCATTCTTGTTAAGACTAATTTGAAATATTTAAAGACTATAAAAACAATTTTCAATATTTAACTTAAAATTCATGAATATT